AAGTAAACCCTTTGGGTGTTGGTCATGTGGCGATGTGAACTACGGGTGTTAATTACATGGTGATGTGAACTATTGGTGTTAAATCACATGGCGATGTGAACTAGATTATTGACTCTAGTGCAAGTGGGAGACTGAAGGAAATATGCCCTAGAGGCAATAATAGAGTTGTTGTTTTATATTTCCTTATATTATGATAAATGTTTATTATTCATGCTAGAATTGTATTAACCGGAAACTTAATACATGTGTCGATACATAGACAAAACACAGTGTCCCTGGTAAGCCTCTACTAGACTAGCTCGTTAATCAAAGATGGTTAAGTTTCCTAGCCATAGACATGTGTTGTCATTTGATGAACAGGATCACATCATTAGGAGAATGATGTGATGGACAAGACCCATCCATTAGTTTAGCATAATGTTCCTAAAGTTTTAATTCTATTGCTTTCTTCCTCAATTATGCATATTCCTTTGACTATGAGATTATGCAACTCCCGGATACCGGAGGAATACCTTGTGTGCTATCAAACGTCACAACGTAACTGGGTGATTATAAAGATGATCTAGAGGTATCTCCGAAGGTGTTTGTTGGGTTGGCATAGATCAAGATTAGGATTTGTCACTACCGAGTATTGGAGAGGTATCTCTGGGCCCTCTCGGTAATGCACATCATGATAAGCCTTGAAAGCAAAGTGACTGATGAGTTCATTACGGGATGATGCATTATGGAATGAGTAAAGAGACTTGCCGGTAACGAGATCGAACTAGGTATGAAGATACCGACGATCGAATCTCGGGCAAGTAACATACCGATGACAAAGGGAATTACGTATGTTGTCATTGCGGTTTGACCGATAAAGATCTTCGTAGAATATGTAGGAACCAATATGAGAATCTAGGTTCCTCTGTTGGTTATTGATCGGAGATGTGTCTCGGTCATCTCTACATAGTTCTCGAACCCGTAGGGTCCGCACGCTTAACGTTTGATGACGATTTGTATTATGAGTTATGTGTTTTGGTGACCGAAGATTGTTCGGAGTCCCGGATGAGATCACGGACATGACGAGGAGTCTCGAAATGGCCGAGAGGTAAAGATTCATATATAGGACGATAGTATTCGGACACCGGAGGTGTTTTGGGGTTACCGGGTGCGCCCCCATATAGGCCGATCTAAGTGGAGAAAGGAAAAGGGGAGGAGGAAAGGAAATAGAGGGAATAGGATACCGCCTTCCTTTCCCCTCTCCCCTCTTTCCTTCCCTTCTTCGGAGATAAGGAAAGGGGGAGGCCAAATTGGAGCGGAGGCCCTCTACTAGGATTCCTCCTACTTGAGGCGCCCCAAGGCTGCCCCCTCCCTCCCACCTATATATACATGGGGAGGGGGCACCTAGAACACATACCAACAATTGTTAGCCGTGTGCGGCGCCGCCCTCCACAGTTTACGCCTCCGTTCATATTCACGTAGTGCTTAGGCGAAGCCCTGCACGGATCACATCACCATCAACGTCATCACACCGTCGTGCTGACGAAACTCTCCCTCGACCCTCTGCTGGATCAAGAGTTCGAGGGACGTCATCCAGCTGAACGTGTGCTGAACTCGGAGATGTTGTACGTTTGGTACTAGATCGGTTGGATCGTGAAGACGTTCGACTACATCAAATGCGTTAACCTAACGCTTCCGCTTTCGTCTACGACGGTACGTGGACACACTCTCCCCCTCTCGTTGCTATGCATATCCTAGATAGATCTTGTGTGATTATAGGAAATTTTCGAAATTGCATGCTACATTCCCCAACAGTTTCATGTGATTTTTTCACTCAATTTAATTCACTAGTTTGCTTGGCCGAATAAAGCATTTCCTGATGTTTGCTAGCTCTTGTGACTATTTTATGCATTCTATACAATGCAAATCAGTGCTCATGAATCATTACGCTTACATTGCCGAGTGCATGTATTTTGGTCTTTCAGTTAACCGAAGAAACGAAACCTTTATATTATGGTTAACATGGTTCGGTTTCTTAACTCTGTGTGCTTGTTTCGGTTTCCATTTCTCCAAAACCAAAATTATAAGAAACCGAATGAACCGAACCATATTAACCATATAAACCGAACGCCCAGCCCTGCTCATGAGCTTGGTCCAATACATGACAGTTACCAACCATCTTGTAATCATGGAACTGCTCCATAGCATACATATCGCTTCCAGCATCGATTGCGCTGAACTTAGCTTTGAGCGCATCCCACAGGTTCTTGGTCACCGCATATGAAGATATGTGTCAACCAACTTGTCTCTTATCACACTTAGAACGGCTCCCACAAAGACAGTGGTTGCCTCCCTGAACGCCTTCTCCTATTCAGGAACAATTGTTCCCACAGGAGTCACATCACCGACCCAGAACATGTTCATCGCTGTGAGCCAGAAGGTGGCTTTGATCTCGAAATGCTTGAAATGTGTTTCTGTAAATGGGACCGGCTTCAAAGTAGTGACAAAGCCTTAAATCAAAACGTGCCTAAAATAAGGTTTTGGATTGCTGGATATATTAGCAATTTTTGATTAATCTAATCCATGAGTAAAAAGTAACATGACATTCATAGTATACAAATCATACGAAATCTAAACATGTGAGCACGCACAGTACATAGAACCAAAACATCTATGAACAGAGCATATACAACTGGCACATGAACGAGCAAGTAGGGGATGAAAAAATCATACCCTCCAATAGGCTAGGCAAGGCTACAGCGGACACAACGACTTCAACCTCTTCCTCGACCTTTTTTCCTGGCGGCAGCGTCTTCAGCCATGGGGTCGTTGTCGTGGAAGTAGTCGAATCAAAGGACGAAGACGAGGATTGATCGGGAGCATTCACGCCGAGACGCTCCCCAAAACCTTATTGCTCTTCAACCAGTGCAGGATCTCAAAGGACAAGGTTCCAGAGGCCTGCTCTCCCGTCCAGTCGTGCACGCGGCCGGCGTAATTGGATCGCCTGAAGCAGCACAAAGCTTGAAACAGTAGAGGACGACTAGGGTTGCGCGAGGAGGGAGTGAGTGTGTTGCCTGATAAAATGGCCTACGGCCCAATCTCATACACATCCGTTAGTGACTCGTTAATTAACCTGAGATTAATTAACCATTCTTGACCCGCAAAAACAAAGTGCGAGCATAGGTCTAAGCTAGGCTCGGCTCATTCACAAAACACGGCGCACCCGAGGGGGGGGGCATGGCATGGCGTGGTTGGCAGCGGATGAGGAGGAGCGTGCGCGTGTATCACTCCTCTTCTCAAGCTTCCAAGGGCATGTGGTAGAGCAACTCTTATAAAAGGGACTCTACTCCTCAACTTATGAGGTGGTACTAAACTTTCCACCACCTGCTATACACATATACGGGCCTTAGAGATTAACATGAATTATTGTTTATTATGGGCCAAAGCCCATCTATAGTTTAACAGTTTGTTCAATGGGAGGAGACGTCTGAGACAAAGAATACACTAGAGCCGGTTACCTTTTCTATGTAGAAAAAAGGTAATCCCTCTATTTGCTTATACAATGTCACTATAAAAAATACATTTTATATCTATATAAGGCCACCAGCAGTAATCGAAACAAAGTGAATGATATTTCCTTGTACTAGCAATATGTTTAGTACTTGCATGCATGCATTTATAATGACACTCCACTCAGTTTTGTAGGCGCCCCCTCCTAGGTCGTGTGCGTACCCCTAGGTCGTCAATTTGACCAACTAATACAAATCATATACTATAAAAAATATACCAACATAAACTTCGGAGTTTCTACTTTCAAAAGGTATAATTTTTGTGTTATATAGTTTATATTAGGATGATAAAATTGGCAACCTAGGTATACACACAGGACTTGTAAACTGAAACGGAGGTAGTATATAAAAATGAAGGGAGTAATATTAATGAAAATGGTGTGTCTGTTTTTCTTGATGCACCCGGTTGAATAGCCGGCTCCTCTAAAAAAAAGCTGTCTACGGACACGTATATTTGGGGTGTCCAATTTAAAGGTGAAATTTCCAACGGGCCTTACAAAAATCTGGAGTAGCATTGCTTTCAACGGAAATTTCAGTTAAACTTTAAGGTAGCTAGATTTTTGTAAGAGGAAAATCCAAGTAGACGAGCTATTGCTTTCAACGTGCGGACGTGCTGCGACTGTCTGCGTGTGGGAAGCAAAACAAGACGCTGGCTTTGAACAAGTGTCGTCGTCACATGGACGGCATCCAGGCAGCAGCTTTCTTTCGTTTTCCTTTTTTGTCTTTTCAAATTCAACGGTCGCACTTTCCCATTTGGGCTAGCGTGACATCTATCCCGACAAAGCCACATTAATCTGTAACCATCGTGTGGAATTTGCTGTCTCTTACGCTAGCTAGCTCCAGCCCAACCGTTGTGCTTGTGCTGATGACTTTTTTTTACCTTTCAGTAAACCCTTTCTCAAAGTCGGCGGAAGATGATTTCTGGCAGATTGTCATGTAGTCCCGTCTTATGTACTCCCTCTTATATTAGTTTACAAGAGGGAGTAGTTATGTTGATTCTACTCCATCTCTGTAAATACCATTTGTAATACTGTTTGATTTTAATGAAATTGGCTGGTTTGGAAAAACTCTGCACTCTTTTTCTGGGTAAAAAGAAGAAAGACAAAGAATAGTGTGTTTGTGTGCGCGCGCGAGGAATTTCGCTTCGCATTGTAACTTGTCGAACTTGGTCACATATATATGGGGTAAGACTGTACATGGAAGACGAACAAAACATTGCATTTCCCTACAGTATAAACATACACTGAACAAACACTATACACCAACCAGCTCTGAATCTTGCTAATACTGCAAGCAGGCTTATGACCTGAAAAAATTATTACACAGACTGAACCCTTTTGGTAACACGGCCGGATCACCACAAACTGCTCTTCACTAATGCTAATGTGGTAGTACGACAAATGCGCCGACCCTGTACAAGTGTGGTGCCCTTTCATCATTACTAGCAGGCTGTTATCTCTCAAAGAATTCACCTATCTTCTCTTCCAACCACACAGCAGTATACATTGGTTTCCCAGATCTGGCCTTCAACCAGGAAGTCCGGTGCGAACTGGACTTTTTCTGTAAGAAGTTCTCATAATTTGGAACAACCAACCCCACAATCTCCCGACGCAGTGTCACCTTGAGCACAGTACGAACTTTCCATGTCATCTGACTATCACATATGGTAAAGAACTCTTCAAGAAATCTCTTCAGAGAATCAACACCCAAATATCCCACAAGCGGGACCCAACATTCGTCAAGGTAGCTCTGTATGTGCTGATGGATCAGCGAACAGAGACCCCTCTGCAGTTCTTCACTGGAAAGGCATCCTCCGGGATGATACTTCAGTTGATAAACAAAATCCATATTATTCAAGATGTATATGTACCTTTGACCCTTTGCTGGGAACATTGCTTTTGCATCTTCACTGAGCTTGGAGGCCCAAGCATAGATCATGCTAAGCTCAATAGTCCAATCCCCAGTGCCAAGTACAAACTGCATCATGTCCCCGCTGCGATAGAAAAATTCCAGGTATCGTACAAGAAGAACGGTTGCTGGATGGATGGCACATTCTCTGATGCGATGCATGTCACTGGTAGTCCCCTCAAGCATTCCTCTCAAATCAACCACCATCTTGCGAAAAACATGAGCAACCACATCATGCATGAACTCAGTACTGCTGAAAGTCAATTCCCTTATGGTATATAGGACATCGACAAGTGCATCAAAGATGGTTGGCATTTGCGATGCATGATCAGCAGACCACCTTGCGCTGCTGAATGAAAGTGCAACATCAAGGAGCTCTTCTACAGATTGCCCGACAACCTCTCGAAAGCAGCATTCCTTTTTGACTTCCTGGCATGACTTCCAATTCTGCCCATCTAATTCAAGCCAGATCAGCTGAATAAGTTTTGCAGTAATTTTCATCTTCATGACAGAAGTCCCAGTCGATCTGTCTGTCAACACAAGAGGAGCGTCATTGGTAATCCAACGGTTCTCCTCAACTATGTCAGACAATCTGTTTCAAGGACAAGAATACAAGATCAAACTTCAGAATGTAATGCAAAGTGCGTACATAGTTTCAGAGAGCATCATATGTCAATTATAAAGCACCAAAGTCAATCTTATCTATACCAAGAACATCATTGTTGTTCTACACGTCGCATGATGCTATCCATGAAACCACATAATGCCATAATGTAAAGACAAAACATATAATAATTCAATGACAGATGTTCTCATGCCAGCATATGTAAAGATAACTGAAGCAAAAGCATCATGTAGTAAAAAGCAGGGCACACTAGGGTTATATATAGGAGAAAAGCTCCACTGTTAAACCCAAAATCTAAAACTTGAACTCAAACAGGTTGCTCTCAATTCTTTGAAACATTGGATCCATCTTACTTTACCCCACTTGGGTAAGAAAAAATACAAGGCAGAGAATACATTTACTTAAGTAGTAAGTGAAGTACTACTAGTATTGCAAAGGTCGGAGACTCGGAGTAGAAAAGTTTGACTTTTTTTCTCTACTAGGATATGAAGAACAAAAACTGTGCCGAATCAAATCAATTGGTACTTGACGAATTAATTACCTGTGGAATCCATCAGAGTTGTTGGCATCTCTGAACGCTCTCTGAAGCAATTCAAGGAATTCAGCTTGGGTTAACCCTGAATCCATGTCTTGGAGCTGCTGGATGAAGTCGGGGAGGATGAGACAAACGTCCCCTGCTTCGAGGAGGTGGACGGGAGTATACCACAAGTTATTGGTCTCGTCGCCGTTGGTGCTTGACCCGCCCCCGTCGGAGTCGGAGGAGTCAGCTTGGGGTGGACTGACGGCGGGGATCGGAGGGGTGCTGTCTGCCATGAAACTGCGGATGGCAGCAGCAACCTGGGCAGCGTCCAGTATGCCCCCGGTGATGGAGAGTGTGGGAGCGAGGCGTGGCTGCTCCGGTTGAATCCGCGGAGCCGGAGCCGCAGGGATCTGGCGGGGTCCATCAGGGTCGTCCTGACGGGCCAATCGGGGCGGATGCCTCAGCACAAGGACGATGATAAGAGCGGCGAGGACCGCGGCGAGGCCTCCGTAGTCCCGCAGCGAGCCGCACGAATCCACGGCAACTCCGAGCGCGGCGCACAGGTAGAGGAGGGCGGCAAACGGGCCGCCGTTGTAGGGACGTGCCGGACGAGCGCGGGGGTGGTGAGGAAGAACGGCACGGCGGTCCGCCTGAGCATGCCGGAGCCCGGGGGCGGGGCGAGGCGGCGTGCCCGCGGCCACGGGATGTGGTCGGCCTGCCGCGCGATGCCGATACCGGGAGCGGGGGCGGGGAGGCACGGGGAGGTGGTCCGGGCTCGCTCTCTGGCGCCCAAGGCCTTCCGCCGCCGCCGTCGCCGTGGCCATCGGAGAGAAACAGGGGAGAACCAATGGATGGGTTATTCTTGGCCTGAGAAGAGGAAGCCGGTGAGGAGGAGACGGCCTGGTGGGCGGCTAAGTATAGGCGAGCACTGGACTGGCCCCACTGACAGTCGGCCGGGATTCGCTGGGCGGAATGCTGGGAATATTCGATTCGTGATGGAGCGGCCGACGATCTAGAACGCCGGAGACAAGTGTCATGATACGTAGGCTGATCAAATCTTTCCTGTGATCCGGCAGCTTACAGTCCCGTACGTCTCTTATCTGACCATGTCTACCTTATCAAATCTTTCCTGCGATCCGGCAGCTTGACTTGGAAATAGTTGAGCGCAGTGGGAGGCGTACGTCATCTTTCTCCTACTATTTGATTTTTGAGTTAAAAGCATTGAGGGTCCTAGAACTTGTTTAGAATCTGATGATTTGATCCTAGAACTTGCAAAATGATCCTATACAGTCTCACAACTTGCATCAGATGTGCAACTTTGGTCCTGGACCAATCACAGCACGACAAATGGACTCCTCGGGCCCGAGCCGGTCAGCGCGTGTTTTTGCAAATAGCCTCCGCCTTTCCTTGAAATCAACCCGCACTCACTAACTGGACATCCACGGAGGAGCACCTGAATTAATTATGTCGGTGGGAACTCCTGTAGCTTAAGCGCATACATGCAAACTGTCTCTAGTTCTTTTTTCTGAACTTAAGCATGTGCTCTCTGATCCTGAGATAGCATTGTCGTCTCTTGCCCTATCATGCACCCTTTTAGTTAAACAGACATGCAAACAAAATATTCACTCAGGAAAACATCAATAAATATGATATGCTAGCAGAAATAATTCTTTAGCAAATCCTCTAGATTTCTCAGAGACGTGCTTGCTTATTTCTTCAATCAATAATCAAGTGTATAAGCTAGCAGGTAGTGTTCTAAAAACAATTTCCTACATGAACAAGCTTGTGTAGCTAACTATACAACCCTATACAAACTTTACTGAATGTGTATATGACAGGTTTCCATTTGCGACGACCTGCAAAGGTTAAATGGCCTGAACCTGATTCATGTTGCACATATATATCCTCCACTGACATTATGTACTTTGCTGCTACCATGTACACTTACCATGATATTTCTTCCTCTGTTATTGTCAGAATTGCAATCTGACCACTTCCCCCTAATCATCTTTCATAATCCGACATGAGCATAATCCCACACTGAATGGTTTTGTAACTGCTACAATGCTGTTTTAGCATGATAAAATAGACAGCTCCTAATTGTTGTCTCACACACTGGAATAGACTAGATGATACCCCGCACGTTGTTGCGGGAATATTTTGCAACATATTTCAATGTGATTCGTTGTATGAATAATGAATAACTGAAGTAATAATATAAAAAGCTAAAACTGAAAATACATATAATTTATTATGTTTGATTACTATATAATTGTACTTTTTTTAATTACATCTAAATAGCATAGTAGAATGAAAATTCTCTTGGATGTTTGCATGTTGAGATGAGTCTTTTTTTCATGCATGTTTAATGATGAAGTGACATGCTTGCATGTTGGGAGACATATGATAGTGAAGATGGGCCTTTTCTCATGCATGCTATGGGATGATGTGGCATGCTTGCATGTTGAGAGAAATAATTAGTGGGGGCTAGCTATTTAGATATAGAAGATTACAGTATGACCCACTTGACCAAAGATTTATTTCTGCACTACTTTGGTGCTTCTGATCCCCTATCCTTTTATCGAACTTCTAATTCTTCTTTCCTATCTGCAGCTAGATTTATCCATGGTGGCATTTTAATTCATAGAGCAGGATTTTCTCTAGCAGGTAGCGTTCTAGGAAATGAGCTTGTGTAGCTAACTATGCAACTCTATACAAAGTTTACTGAATATGTATATGACAGGTTTTCATTTGTGACGACCTGCAAGGGTTAAATGACCTGAACCTGATTCATGATGCATATATATCCTTCCCTGACACTATCATATATACACTAGAAGCTAGAAAGCTAGCCTATGGTATGATTGTTGTTCCTACGGACTAAAACCCTACGGTTTATATAGACATCGGAGAGGGCTAGGGTTACACAAAGCCGGTTACAATGGTAGGAGATCTACATATCCGTATCGCCAAGCTTGCCTTCCACGCCAAGGAAAGTCCCTTCCGGACACGGGACGAAGTCTTTAATCTTGTATCTTCATAGTCCAGGAGTCCGGCCGAAGGTATAGTCCGGCTATCTGGATACCCTCTAATCCAGGAATCGCTCAGTAACCCCCGAACCAGGCTTCAATGACGACGAGCCCGGCGCACAAGGCATTGCAAGGCGGGTTCTCCTCCAAATTCCGTGTACCTGTTGAATAGTGTCCAGTTTCTTGTAAATGTAGTGCTCCTTGGCTTCTACGCCCAATAATGGCCGTATTCCACGTGTCAAACGAATAGGAAAAGTCAGGGTGTTTTTTTATATTTACACACCTAGCCGCGTGAATGAGCCGCCTATTTAAGGGGACGAGGATTTAGATCCAAACCACACCTTCTCCCCTCCGCGAGTATTCATCAGAGCATATCCGACAGAGGTCCATTCTATCATGGCCGGCCGCCGCAGCTCCTCCTCTCGCCCTTCCAGCCCTCAGCCTGGAGATTGGAAGAGGTGCTCCATCCCGCACAGCGAGCTAGTGACGCTCCAGACCAAGGGCCCGGCCTATATGGTCCCGGTTCGAGCCGGACTTGCCACCTATAATGGCGGAGAGCAAGCGGAGAGCGCCCCCAATCCCTCCAAAGGAGAGCGGATATGCATTGTCCCTTACTTAATAAGAGGGCTCAGATTTCCAATTCATCCGTTTCTCCGGGGGCTCCTGAAGTTCTATGGCCTCCAGCTGCACAACCTCACGCCTGCCTCCATATTGCATATCGCGGGCTTCGTAGCCCTTTGAGAGCTGTTTTTGGGCTGCGAGGCTCATTTCGCGCTGTGGAAAAGGCTATTCTGCCTCGTGACCCGTTCTAAGAAGGGGTCAATATATGAAGTGGGCGGAGCCGAAGTGTGGCGCATCGCCGGGACCGGATATCTATCCGGAACCCCAAGGAAGGCGTCCGAGGACTGGCCTTCGGAATGGTTTCATATAGAGGACGTCCCGCTGCCGGATCATGTCCGGATCGGCCTCTCTGAGTTCGACAGTGCTCCCCTAAAGAAGCGCCTAAGATGGCGTCCACGGAGCCCTCAGAGGGAAAGTGACAGGGACGTTCTTTACCTGATGGGCCGGATAAGATTGTTAGCTCATTCCTTACTGACCATGATCGGGGTCATGGCCGCATGCATCATGCGAGGGGTGCAGCCGCTTCAGTATAGAAGCCGCCCCATGTGGGACTTCAACGGGGAGGACGACGCCACCCGCCACGGCCGTAAGGGGCCGGATTCGGCTACCGCTCTAATAAAGACCTTGTCCGCTTTGTACAAGGGAGAAGAGGAGGAATTTCTCCGCGTCAACCCACAGGGTGGATTTTCTATGTACAATCCCCCAAGTTGGGTAAGTGGACACTTTTACTTGCCCATCCGTTTTATATTCCCATTGTTAAATATTCAGTCTAACGACTTCAACGCAGGAACTGCGCCAGGCTGTTAAAGAAATAAACAGCCCTCCTCCACAACCCGAGGATCCGGGACGGTCCCTCGACCCGGCCTCTCAAGAGGATCCAGACTTATCTGTGGAGCTGATTGATGGGGTGTTTCATCAATTGAGCAAGGACAACGCCTTGGTGGCCATTACGACCGATTACCCAGGGCTACTCCCAGCCTCATAGGTAACTGAGACGGAAGTCCCAACACTTTGAAAAGGGATCTATCCTCGCGTGTTTTCGATTGCCGTATGACAACCATGTTTTGCAGGGGAGGTCCTTGAGACGGGAGGCCGAGCCTGCGGCGACTAGCCAACGAGGGGCGGCAAGGCCCCGCGGGCTGAAAAGAAGTGCGATCCGGACTGAGACGCCGGTGCAAAGGTATAGCACGCCATCTTATTCCCAGGTGTTATTCCTTTAAGGCATACTAACGCTCGTGCTTTCTTCAGGACGAAGAGACCTCGCCGGACTATATCCGGAGAGGTTGCCAATCACGCCTCCACCAGCCAGGCTCCAAAGCCTGGTCCGGAAGCGGAGGCGAACACAAGGCGTGCACCGGACGCTCCTCCGACAGAGGACGCGGACAGGCTGTCTGCCACCAACTCCGAGGTGGAGAGTGCCATGAACCACAGGCGTCGCCGGACAGTTCTTCGCGACGCTTGTTTCTCCCAAGAGGCATTGGATGCCTTCAATTCGGGAGATGCGTACCTCCGTGCCGCTCAAAATGGTCTAGCTAGAGCCACGGAGCAATATGTAAAAGACATACGGGTAAGAAAATTTTGGTAATTATATATATACCAGTAGCCCCCGAGACTTGAAATAGTTAGAATAACTGATTTAAGGATCATTTGTTATGCAGGTTCTTACAGAAAAGAATACCCTACTGTCCTAGGAGCTGGAAGAGTGCAAAGCCCAACTTGAGGCCGCACTAGCCGCGGCAGGGGAGCCCAAGGAGACCCCCCTCTGGTAATATATGCTTCGAAAGATAAGTATTTTGCAAAGTGCGGCGGGTGTGCAAATCTGACAAATGAAATTGCAGATGGCGCCGGATTAAATCCGGAAGAGCAACAACTCCTACGCCAGCTGAAGGCTGGTGAGTGCGTGCTGACAAAGGTGAGGCGGGAGAAGAACGATCTCCAAGATGCCAACACCAAGCTGGGCATTAAACTGAAGGATGTTCGTGCCCAGCTGTTGGACTCTGTTAAGGGGAATCAGCGGGTTCGACGTGGCATATTTAGTAAGTGCTTAAACGAAATTAAAAAAAGAGTTCGGCGAGGAAGTTTACTAACAGAGTAATGTCTGTAGGTATGCTAACAGGTCGTCCTGCAGAGGAAATGCCCGGTTCTACAGGTGACCTTCTTCCCGAGCTCTCACAACTGCACGGGCGAGTTTGGCAGGTGATGCAAGGCGTCGCCCAGGCCTTGTGGCCATCCGTCTCCATGCCCGATGGCCTTGGAGAGCTTGTAGAGAAGCTAAAGGGAGCGCGGCGGCGCTTCCGATTGTGGAATATGCCGGCCTGCCGTCAAGGCGCCAGGGAGGCCCGGGCCATGGTGAAGACGCGGTACACGAAGGCTGACCCAAACCACATGGCCGAGGTCGGACCCGTGGGGCCCGATGGGAAGGAGATCCCTGTGAGCTTAGTATACGTCCAAGTAGAGTTGGCCGCAAAGTATTCCCAACAGGACTGTAAACTAGACAGCCTGTTAGATAGTATCGAAGAGGAATACAATTAGTCAG